TAGTGCAGCTGTGAGCTGCCAAGTCAGTTTTACAGCAGGTATTCCAGGAATATCCAGACCTACACAGAAACGTCCCAAAGCATTTCTTTAAGGTCAGTTACTCATATATAGTTCATCGTTGACACGTCAAAGAAGGCAGGGAAGGGGCACAATACATCTGTTCTTGCTGTGGCTGTACAAGGGTCCTTGGAAAAAGGAATATGGGGAGACACAACTACCAGGGTGTGCTAAAAGATCACTGAGATCTGGCTCTGACTAGACTGCGAACATGTCACTTCTTTCCATTCTCTTATTAAGCTTCTAATTACTGAGTATCTACTTTGGTCATTCTGTGTGAGTAGTCATAAATCTGGTCTTATTTAGGGGTTTGTATTTGAAATTTATGTATTCCTGGACAAATAACTTCTCTCACACTTCAGTATTTTTGTTCTTTTGTATATGTGTCCCGCTTCTGATGTAGTGGTATGGGAGATCCTTCTGTCTGTTGGCCGCCAGAGTCAGACATGCTGGAAATTTGCCAGTAGGCCATGACCTTGTAGTAATATACAGATTGATAGAAATAAGTTACATCAAGATGTAAGAGTTAGCTTATAAGAAGCTAGAGCTAATGGGCCAAGTAGTGATTTAATTAATATAGTTTCTGTGTGGTTATTTCAGGGCTTAGCTTGCCTGGTGATCAGGACGAATAAGCAGGCCCTCCTCCTACAAACTGGTGCCCACGTGGCCAACTAAATCCACTTAAAAACCCAAGAGAGCTGGAAAAGGAATTCTAGACACAAAAATACAGAGTTTAACACAGCTTTTTGCTGTTTGCTGGCAAACATGCAGCAGCTCCTTTAAGAGAGATTTTTCTGATTCAGCTGTAGCAGTAAAAAAGCCACAGCTGTTTTAAAATGCTGGCTTTCTGGTCTATGCTGCCAGCATGACCTCTGGCTCGTTTGGGAAACAGCATTTGAGTGGGCTTGTGAGCAGTGTATTGCAACTTGCTTAATGGCAACATGGACCAGCTTTGTGCCTGGAACTGGGTCAGTGTTCATGGTGTATATGGCTCAGAGGCACAAGCAGCTTCGCCACGCTGTACTGTGTGCAGTTAGCAGGTAGTACTGAATATATCATAGTAATTGGGCCATTTAAATTACAGAATTGGCTGGCAGGCAAGAAGTACCAGATATACCATAATAATTGTGCAGCTTAAAGTTTAAGAAACTCTTAGCATTTTAAAAAGTGCTCCAGGAGAGTAAACAATTACAGATATTGCAATAAAGACAAATACAGATGAGTCATAGTGTTGGAAAAATGTATATAGCCTTGGAAGAGAGATGAAAAAGAGTATAGAGAGTCATAAAATAAAGTTAATGCTTTAAAAAAGGGTAAAGTCTTTAAAGAGACAGAGTATAGAAAGAAAAATAAGCCATATAAAAATGGAAAATTCACAGAGAGTCTGGACTATATATATTATTGTGTTTTCTTTGAATATTTTAACTGTGAAGGAGCTAAGTACAGAGAGACATTTCATTGAATGGCCTCCTAAGCTAAACCAGCATGTATATTATATAGGTACCATGACTTCCAAATTTGGGTTTAAGGATATGTTGCTTTGGAAAAGAGGTTCTTCTCTTGTTTCTACAGAAGAAGGACCTGTGGATTGCTTCCAGACCACTATGGTTTTATGGAACAAGGCCCCCTGAAATATTCACCCAACTACTAACTAAGATGAATCTAGCATACAGGTTACACAAAAAAACCCCTGGTTAACAGCACCTCAAACAGCAGAAAGTAGTATGGACAAAACTACATCCATATTCCCAAATATTGTTTGTAAATATTTCTTTACTTTTAAAGGGGGATAAGGTATAGATGTGCTAGAGAGGTTTGCATTGGTATGAATATTGATTTATTGATACAAATTTAAGGTCAATTATGTAATATGTATATTTCTGCTCTTGATTAAGGTCTTGTGATTGTGTAGTTCATTTAAAATATAATGTATAATTAAGAAATATAGCTTAATAGATAATCATCTATAATAATCAAGCTTGTAGTCATGTTAGTTAGATTTTCTAGATTATAGATATATATTTCAGTTAGGTGTTCTTCAAATCTTTCAAAGATTTCAGAATATTGCATTTAAAATTTGTAAGAACTTAAGACTTTTCATGACAATGAGACACATCTGCTTCTGGAAGCACCAATTACTTCAAGAGGAAGATGGGCATTGAAGAGGCTTCTTATGGAGTTGGTTAGGCATTTGGGCAAGAAATTGTTCTTGCCTGGACTGCTTAACTGGACATGAAGTACCTGCAGAGAAATGTCTGTGGAACTTGCCTAAAGGTGAGATGATCCTTCGAGGTTCCTGCTTCATAAAAGAGTCTGTGAGACATTCTTCAGGATACAGAAGAAAGTGCCTGGAAAACTGTCAATATAGGTGTACTTGTCTTTGAAATTTCCTGCTTCATGGAAAAGTCTTCTGGATACTATGGGCCTGTAGACTGAAGATGGATGCCCCAATGGTACAAAAAAACTTTGGATGACTGTCTAGGCAGTGAGATGTCTCTGTCAATTCTAGAGTTTTGGAAGTTGTTTATAATGCACTTCCTGTTTACTTAGGTAATATTATATCCTTCTGGAGTCTTTGATAGAATTGAAGAATTTATAGTTATAGTTTTCCTTAGTTATAATAAAAATAAAGTAGATATAAATATTGTCACTGCAATTTTTGTTAGAATTTTACTATGTTAAAACCTTCCTTTTTGTTTAAACAGAAAAGGGGAAATGGTGTGGGAGCTCCTTTTGTCTGTTGCTTTTCTTGGTTAATGAATAAAGAAACTGCCTTGGCCTGTTGATAGGGCAGAACTTAGGTAGGCAGGGAAGAACTAAATGCTGGGAGAAAGAAGGGAAGAGTGGGAGAGACACTGTGAAGCTACCATCAGAGTCAGATATGCCAGAAATTTGCTGGTAGGCCATGACCTTGTGGTGATATACAGATTGATAGAAATGGGTTAAATTCAGATGTAAGAGTTAGCCAATGAGAAGCTATAGTTAATGGTTCAAACAGTGATTTAATTAATACAGCTTGTGTGTGGTTATTTCGGGGCTAGACTAGACAGGTGGCTGGGATGAACAAGCAGGCCCCCCTCCTACAAATAAAATGGAATATGGATATTTTCTTTTGTTTAGAATGTTGGGTACAAGTTGTAATAGATAATGGTCAGGAGAAAAGCAAAACAAAGGAGATTCAATTTAGAGTTCTTGTTTTAAAAAAGGAGGGAGTGCTGTGGGACAATTGTCTGTACTCTTTCAATTGTATTTTGATAAATGCTGGTTGGCCAATAGCTAGGCAGGAAGTATAGTCACGGAAACCAGGCAGGAAATAGAGGCAGGACAATGAGAATGCTGGGAAGATGGAAGTATAGACTGCAGTTGTGATTCAGACACAGAGCAAGCAAGATGTGCCTGCCTAGCCAAAAAAGATACTGAGTCATGTGGCTAACATAGACAAAAATAATGGGCTAATATAAGTTATAGAAGTTAATAAGAAACCTGTGTAGTTCACTTAAAAATGCAATGAATAGTTAAGAAATATAGCTTAATAGATAATCATCTATAATTACTCAAGCTTGTAATCATGTTAGTTAGGTTTTCTAGATATATATAGATATATTTCAGTTATATAGGTATTCTTCAAATCTTTCAGAGGCCTTCAGGATATGGCATTTAAAATGTTTTAAGAAGGTTGGATTTTTCATGACAATAAGACACATTAGCTCCCGGCAGCACCAATTACTTCAAGAGGAAGATGGGCATTGAAGAGGCTCCTTATGGAGCTGATTAGCCATCTGGGTAAGAAACTTCACTTGCCTGAACTGTTTGATGGCATGCTTTATGAAATGGACATGCAGGACCCACAGAGAAATAAGTGCTAAACTTGCCGAAAGGTGATATGGTTCTTTGGAACTTTTACTACATGAAAGAGTCTGTGACACGTTCTACAGGACACAGAAGAAAGCAACTGATGGACTTTGCCATTACAAGGCAAAACAGATCTTCAAATTTCCTAATTTGTGGAAAAGTGTTCCAGATACTACAGGCCTATAGGCTGAAGATGGATGCCCCAACGGTTACATTAGAACTTTGGGTGATTATCCAGACAGCAAGGTATCTCTGTCAATTCTAGAATTTTGGAAGTTACTTACAATGCACTTCCTGTTTACTTGGTAATATTGTATCCTTCTGAAGTCTTTGATGGAGTTGGAGAATAGAGAGAAAGTAGATATAAATATTGTAACTGTAATTCTTGTATGATACCTGTTTTGTTATAAGTAATTTTACTATGTTAAAGATAAAGTCATTTTTTAAATTTTAACAGAAAAGGAGAGGTGATGTGGGATTTTCCTCTATATGCTGTCAATACCATTGATTAATAAAGAAACAGTCTTGGGCCTGTACAAGGAATAGAGGTAGGCTGGGAAAACTAAACTGAATGCTGGGAGAAAGGAGGCAGAGTCAGAGAGATGCTATATATTCAACATGCTTCATCTTAATTTGTTTGGGTTGTGAATGCTGCTTTCCCATTTCTTTCCAAATGCCAATCAAGATTAACACTGAAACAAGCTTTGAAGTAAAAACTTGTGCCCAGGCAGTTCCCAGTAGAAGCATTTGGGCACTCAGGTTTTCATGAATCCATCTGTTGCTTTAAAAATCAATCACCCCAAGTAGAAGCGAGAACAAAACTGCTTCTTATTGGTGTCAAGACAGAAAAAAGAGAAACATAGTCACCTCCCTGGACAGGGAAGGTAAACAACATCCTGACAAGTAACCTCAGGCTGAGTTAATACCGGAAATGTTCTATTTCCTTCCCTGAGCCTATTGAGTCATCAGGCTCACTGTGCCACACAGAAACACCAACTGCAGCTAGAAAATGCAGAAAAAATCCATAGAATACTTGATCCATTAGTCTTAATCACATATATTTAACAGGCGCCGAGAGGGTAGATCTGCAACAAATGCTATAAAAGGATCGTACTGTTCTCCAGCATTCCCAGAAAAACTCAGGCCCATCTTCTAGGAAAAAAATAACAAATCACTGTACCATTTAACCAGTATTCAGTTAAGCAGGGCCTGGTGTTTGCATTTGTAGTGGCCTCTTCTCTCATCTGTTCCCTTTAGGCTATTGGTGTCCATATGTAAATTGCAAGACGAGAAGGGCATGGAGCGATGCCTGTACCCGTATAAACTGGGAAACCTGGAAAAGAAAAGGGGCAATGAGTGTTTTGTCTGAGGAAGGTTTATATAGCTCAAAATTATGTTTTCCCTGAACCCACACCAAGGACAGATAGCTTGGGGAATCTCATCTCATCCTCACTCAATGTCCATGGAAAGAAAGCAGCACACAGCAGTCTAGAGCTGCAGGGTTACCTGTGTCCACACTCAATCTCTTATTTCAAGTCTCCACACTTTATTTACTGATAGGAAAAGAGCCCCGTGTTGTAATGCGTTGCATTTTCAAACATGTACTAAGAGGGAAGTCTGGCTGTAAAGATGGGAGAGTGACTGACTGGGTTCCTGCTGCTCCCAGGGCATCAGATCAAGAGCACCAAGGGCAGCTGTCTGTGGGGAAGACACCGAAACATCTCTGAAGCAGAAAGTTTGCCATCATCCACTAAGCCCAAACGCACTCGGACATTACCCAAGGAAGGTGATATTCCACAGCGGCATCTTCTTGGTGGCCAAGAAAGAATCTCTAACTTTTCAAACTGGATGCTGTTCTCAGGATTTTTGGAATTACCAAAATGACAAAGGGATTAGGTTTTCTTTCTGCCATTCTCAAGTGGTTTGAGAAACCCGGAGTGGCACATCCAGTGTGAGACGGAGGGGAAGCACCTAGGTACATTGGAAAGAGGGTTGAAGTGATTTTCTTGAAAAACAGCAGACCAAGGAGTAACAAGTGCTGTTTGGAGCAGGGAGGAGGTCAAATTTATATGAGGTTCTATTGTTGAAGTGAAATGGAAAAGAGCAGAGTGTACGGAGACTGCAGGACACTGTCTACAACGGTGAAAGGAATTGGTGCCAGTGGTAAGGAAAGGGTGAAGGCCAATCCAGAGCTCTTGCTAGTCAGTAAGGGATTTGCACTAGAGAAAATAAGCAGAAATAAAGATTTTGCAAAGAAATGAGTAAAAGATCACGGTCTAAGGAACAGGAGAAACTGCAGAATGAGAGAAAAAGGTTTTCAAAAACATCTATCAAATGGGAAATCTCTTTAAAAGCCCTAAACATGGAGAAAATATTTTTAAAAAAAAAACGCACAGTGCAAAACAGGGAAAATACCATGACTAACTAAGATAGGAAATGGTCACAACCCAAATAAATATTCAACAAAATTAAAAGAGCACACAGAATGTCTACACATCATCATATGTCTAACCCTAACAGTGTACTGGAGACCAGAGACAGGAAGAAGGATGTGATCTGTTGAACTGAGGACATAAATCCAAACGTCAGAACTGATCTGTGTGTTTGGGGCTCTGCAGCGAGCATGTTTGCTGTAATAGTAAGTCTGTATTTAAGACTCAACCAAACCTGGAGGATTATAACCTAGAAATCTTTGATAACAGCATGTCAGGGCTTTGGATAAAAGGAATTGAAGGGTCATGTTGAGTAACAGAATAATATAAAATACTAATACAGGCTAATATCTATTTTATAGCAATGACATAGGTAGCAAAACATACATATATAAGACACATATAACAATATATGCTCTCTAACTAGACATGAAAGTAAAGAATTTACCATGAAATGCCTATAGATCTCTTATAAGATTCACCATAAGTTGAGTATTAAGGAAAATAGTAATAAATACCCAAATGTTCAAAAAATTAATGAAACCAAACAAATTCCTTTCAGAAATGTAAAATCTTCCACAGAAAATCTGCAATTTAAAGAAGTAAGTTGAGCAACCATAACAGGGGCTGGAGAGATGGTTCAATACTTATTAGCCTTGACTGCTCTTCCAGAGGACCTGGGTTCAATTCCCAGCACCCACATAATTGCTCAAAACCATCTGTAAGTCCGGAGAACCAATATCCCCTTCTGACCTCCACAGGCATCAAGATTGTATGTGGCACAAAAACACCCATTCACATAAAACAATCAATCATCAATCAAAAAAAGTAAACTAATGAATTAGCAAATTTAAATTGGAGCTGGTGAATATATATATATATATATATTTGTGTATATATATATACACATATATATAAATTGCTTAAGGATGAGTGACAAATGAGTTATAAACAAACTACTATGTAAACATCAAGAGATAAAAATGAAAACAGTATAAACACACCTAAAACATGAAAGATAAACATTTAAAGACAAATTTAAATATGTTGAAGAATCAATACTTTGAAAACACAAATTTGAAGCACTTAGATAAGTTTACAGTTCCCTACGTAAATATGAATTATTAAAAGAAATTTCAAAAATTAGAAAATATAAATACATAGAACTAATAAATTAAATAAAATACTACAAAGAGTATCTGTTATTTTGAAAACCTTATGTAAAATTCTTTTGTTTCTGTTCTTTGTGTGTGTGTGTGTGTGTGTGTTTCATTTTGGAAATAGGGCCTCACACAACTGAGGCTATACCATTGCTGTGTAGCCAAGGATGGCCCTGAGTTATTCATCTACCCACACCTCCCAAATGCTAGGATTACAGGCACACACCACTGCGCCTGATTCTTAAAACAATTCACTGGTAATTTAAATATTTATAGACTGTGGACAAGATGATAAAACCTTCTTTTACGTGTATGAGTATCATTCATGCAAACATGCGTTCACACTGCCCACGTTCCTGGTGCCCTGTAGAAGCCAGAAGAGGACATTAGATCTCCCCAGAACTGTGTCAGCCAACACAAGGGTACTGAGGATCAAACCTGGATCCTCTGCAAGAGCAGCAAGTGGTCTTAACCACTGAGTTGCCTCTCTAGTCCAGTAGTTAAATATGCTTTAACAAAACCATGTTAACAGATATGTTTTCAAAATGTACTTTATTTATATGTATTAGCAAGAAAGGTAATCAATATAATATAAGCAGAAAAATATTTGGCAATATGTCACAGAAACCTTACTCGTGTAGCTGAATCACACAAGCAGTAGTTATTTGTCTACTATAATAACAGATTTGTTCTACAGTGCCCCTCAGCACCTGAAAGGCCATAACAAAAGCAGGACCTTGAGTCTCAATTTGACTGTGACAAAACTGGCAAGGTAGGGCCTAGGCTTTCCCTCTTGGATGCCTAGCATCACCATGAAAACTAGCTACTCTGACTATCTAACCCACTCCATGAATACGGGAGACACACAGAACTGAGTGGTCCTTCCTCAGGGCACTGTGGCGAGACAGACTGATGACTGACCACACACACAGCCATACATATACATGCACACATACTTGCACATGTACTCACAGAGGAAGCCATCTGAGACCTACTGATAGGTGATCAGATCAGCAGAAGTACTCACAAATTTCAAATAGTACTTACTTAAGCTGCTATGTTTAGTTTTTGTAGAAATCCATGATTGATTAAAAAACCTATTGTTCAGGATATTATTCAATGCTAGGCTCCACTGAAAAATGTTGAGCTAATTAAGTATTTGTACCTAAGCAGATTGATCCAGATAATAATCAAAAGCACTGGTACTGGGAATACTGCTCATAATATTGACAGACAGACCAATCAGTATTTTGATAGCAAGGATAAACAGGCTGAGGCAGAAAATGAGATTAAAATGTTGCTGATTTTCACCAATATAGGATTCAGCAATGTTGGAAGGAGGCTGCGGGCAGGCCTGCTTTTCATCCCGCCCGGCTCCCGCATGGCTAGCTTAGCCCCAGAAATAATAACACATAAGTTGTATTCATTTAAATACTGCCTGGTCCATTATCTCTACAGAGTTAGTTACTGGCTAACTCTCACATCTTGATTAACCCATTTCTAATCTATGTTAGCCATGTGGCTCAGCACCTTTTTCAGTGGGGCAGCTCACATTCTGCTGCTTCGGTGATCTGGGCAGGAGTGGGAGGAATCAACTTCCTCCTCCCCAGAATTCTCCTGTTCTCCTTGGATCATTTCCACTTCCTATCTGGTTTTTCCGCCTACACCTCCTGGCTGGCCAATCAGCGTTTATTTAAAACATGATTGACAGAATACAGACAATTCTCCCGCACCACTCCCCCCTCTTTTTAAAAAAAAAAAACAAAGGAAAATATCCATAGTCCATTTTTGGGGGAATGTGGGCGTAGTATTTTAGGCTACTTCCTGCTGGTTGGGGGCGCTGATAATCTTATGGGGACCTAAAGAAAATTTACAGTTATGATCAAGTCCTGACTGAAGGATCCTGTGAGTCTTGATCATCTCAGGCAGCAGTCTTGAACCTATTTTGGATGAAGAACTCAGACATCTGGGCCATCTGTTCCTACCGGAGATTGCTCAGGTGGTCTCCCTTGGTCAAAGATGATTTTTCTTAATTCTGAATAAATCCAGAGATTCTCGTTTTCTGTAGAAACAAAAGCAAAATCTCTTCTCCAAAGTAACATACCTTTTGACTTTAATTTTGAAGCCAAGGTATTTTCAAAATACCTTTCTTGGATTGATTCTGCAGCATTTATAAGCAAGTATCTTTTAGCAGCTGTTGCTCCTTCCTCGGCATTTAAATAATTTAAAGAGAGCATAATAGCAAACAGTATCAAGATTCTCTGCATATTTTCCATCTTTATGTGGCTTTATTTTAACCTCTATTTCTTTTATTTTTACTTTTAACTTTTGGCTTTTTGAGACAGGTTCTCTGTATATCTTTGTCCTGGAACTCCCTCTGTAGACCAGGCTATCTTTGAACTCCCAGAGATCCGTCTCTCTCTGCCTCCCAGGCTACTCGTTCTTTCTCTCTCTCTCTTTCTTTTTTTCTTTCTTTCTTTTTTCTACTTTGAGAACTTTAACCTTTAGCCTGTATATATTTTTAACAGAAAGTAAACCATTTAGAGGTTTTCTTACTCTTTGAATCTCTCTTTACTGTATATCGCTCTTTTTTTTGACCACATGAGCCTTTAAGGAGAGGACTAAAACTGTGGCTTTTATGGCTGGAATTAGCCCATTCCTTAGCTTTCCAGCCCCGTGGCTGAGATACCAGCCAGAGCTGTGTTCACTGCCACAACTCTATGGCGTTTCAAGGTCTTTGC